CATATACTCTTGCGTTTATTACTTCATAATTTTCTGCTAAATATTCTATAAATCTTTTCTGATTTAATCTCATTATACCACTTTTACGATTGAAGTCAATGTTTATACCAAGATATGTATTACCATCACCTATGTCTTCTACCCTAAATTTATTTGTTAATTTCTTTTAAGTTTTGTTACTTTTTTTTTTACTTTAACTATTTACTGATCAATCATCCACAAAGATAATTACATAAATTTACTCTGCCAGTTCTATCACTTCAACCTTCTGGTTGTTTAACATACACTTCAGATCTTACATTCTCATCTAAAAAAGCTGCTTCCAAATCCATTTGATTAATAATTAGATTATTTTGTGAAAAATAAGCCAATACAATTTTAATAGTGTGTGTTTTTGCTACAGGTAAATATATATCGTCAATTTTTTCTTTTTGTTGAAAACCTCTTAACTAATCAAGCTTTATGTTTATTGTCTGATTCCTCGGTATAAATACATTTGAAATAATTAATTTTGTTATTTTCTGGTCTGTCTACTAGTTTATAAGTCTTATTTTTACTAATGCAATTGAGTCTCTTGCGCATAGCTTCTTTTCAGTTTACACATTGTCCATCATTTATTGCTTAATTATAATTTTGTAGAGTGTTCGCACTAACATAATTTACGTCAATACATGTTGTATAATTTTCTGGCTTATAACTTTCTGGTTCTTTACGCGTTTTACTAGATCTTCTTATTGGACTTTTATTTTTATTTGTAGTTTCATTACCCTTTACAGTTTCAATATTTTCATCAAAAACTGAATCATTATCGCTTCTATTATTATTATCATTTTCTTTACCGTAAACATTTTTATTTTCTTCACCATTAAAACCTACTAATTTAATATCCTCCTCTACAATATTAACATGACTTAGTAATTATAATTTTATTATTATTAGGTACCCTATGACCAACACTTTCATGCCCTACTAATATTCCTACTTCTGCGTTTTCATCCTATTTATTATTTCGTTTAACCTTCGGCACTCTTACAAATATTTTACTTCCACACAATTTTATATTATCAAGTTTGGCTTAACTTCCATCATAATTACATATGAAGTTTTCTTTTCAAAAGTATTTGCTAAGGTTCTGTTTTTTTAGTAAACTGCCGTTTTTACTACTTCTGGCGAAAAATTTTATCTTATTTTGTATCAGATAACAGGCACCTTGCTACATCCATTATTGAACGATTGTATCTTTCTGCAGTTCTATTTACATCAGGCATATATGGAGGACATATATTTGTTATAATACCTTTATGCTCTGCAATTTATAAATACTTTTGTTTAGGAATTCTTTACCATTATCATATCTCAACTTTTTTACTGTCTTCCCTGTCACGTTTTCTTATTTTAACTATCGCTTCTACCATAATGACCACTGTAATCTTGATAATGTTGTTGTTGCCAATGTTGATTCTGCCACTGTTTATATTTAACATGACTTTGCTGTGCTTTCCCATGGCCTGTGATATTGGTGTGAAAGTTTTGCTCTTATTAGTTGCCGAACTGACCTCATCCGTCTCCTTGCTGTTGAATACTTCTTTCTCTGTTAACATTTGAAACACCAGTCTCCGATCCTCTTGATGTGTTTTGTCATTAATTATAATTGTTATTACAACATTGATTTTGAAAACGTCCTGGTTAACCAAACTTGTAATGAATAAAAATTTTTTTTCTTTTTCTTTTTTACTTTAAATACACTTGAATGTCCACTATTATATTTATTTTTGAATGTTTAATCTTTTATCTCATATATTTGAATTTTGTTTTTAACATATTTAACTGTTTGTTCCTCTTCTATCAAAACTTCTATTTTATTATTAATATGTTTTAATTCGGGAGGTAATGTTCTAAGGATTAATTAACCTTTTCCTTTTAATTAACCGGTTCTCCAGTATGTTTTAATTTAATTATTATTTTTTTTAAATTCACTAATAAATTGACTAGATTTTTGAAAGTCACTCCATTTGATATTATCTCATTTATTTTTCACACACATTTGCAATGCTATTAATTCTTTTAAGTATAATTTATCTAATTTTTTTATAATCTTATACAAGCTTTTTTTGTCATGTATCAATTCAAATTGATTCACAGTTAATGCACTACATATGTAAGTTATCGCTTTTAACTCTTTTTATTCCCAAGCTCATTCTGTTTCGTTTTGATTTCTTGTTTTTTACATTACATCTTCACATTTTCTAAACATTAAATACATCGATATTCTTTTTTTCCACAAACTATAATTACTACCATCGAAAATTTGTAACATGAATTCAATATTGTTCGCTATTTGTCTTTTTTTTTTTCGCTTTCGACTTCTTTTAATATACACAGCACGTTTCTAAAAATTTTCAAAAAACTCCTTCTCATATAGTCTCTGTCTACCTTTTTTAACTTGATTTTCTTGTTGTTGATCTGTCTAGTTCTTTTTATTTTTATGTTTTTTATTTACCTATACTCGAACAATGCCTTTTCACTTCTTTCCACTAAAGACATACCGAACTTCCTGTTTCATACAGCTTTTTAATCCTTTAGCGTCTCAATAATTTTTGCACTCAAACACATGTATTATATGTCGCTGCACACGTTTTAAACTATTTTTTTTGATTCTTGACATATTTTTTATCCATTTTTAATTTTACAGTCTCTCTTACAAGTGATTGTCACGTGCCACCAAAGAAACATGTGCAAAATCAAAAAAAAAAAACAACAAAAAAACAAGACCGGAAAAGGCAACTCAAACAATGGACTGCTACTATGCTAAAAATAAATGAGCCTGGGAAAATCAATAGTTAAAGACATTGTCTACAGTATATTTGAATTTATTATTATTTAATATCTCATATCAAACATGAGGTACCTTGCCTTAGCAACGGTTACCTATTCACTGAATAGACGCATCGTCATCAAACAAGTATCAATCACGAGACTCGAGAACTCCGAAGCACGCTCATGGCCTAGCGTCCCAGCGCTAATTTCAAATTAAATTATATTCTAGCACACACACACGTACACACACACATAATCTTGGGCTTTCGTCTTCCTGCGCGCTACCCGCGCTAACTTCCTGTTAGTAAATTTTAATCTTTGACGCGGCTTTGAGGTAGAAGACAAAAGGTTCTTAATGGAAATAAAAAAACGTTTTTTCCAAATTTTGTTTATTTAAAATCAAATAAAAAGAGAAAGAAACTTTTTTTTCCGCCCTCGGGTGGTTTTGGGAGGCTGGTACTTCCTCGGGCAAAAAAGCAGTTTTCCAGAACGCGTTCGAAAAGTCTCCTTTACGAACCTCGTTACGTCCCTCACCTTCGGCTCGGGCCGCAAACGTCTCGGTTCGCAAACAGAGACTTTTAAAACTCGTAGGAAAACTACTATTTCTTACCATGGGCCCATAGTGCAACTGCCGCTTTGCGCCGTCGGGTCACACTTTGCGCCCTTGTAATCACTTTGGGCCCACGGGCAGAAAAGTTTTTTGCGCCCTCCAGACCTAAAGTACTTGTTTGTCCTAGGGCCCAAAGTCATTTACTGGGCGCAAAGTGTGCCCACGGGCGCAAAATTGCACTTTCCGCCCTAGGTCAGAAAAACATTATACGCGACTCGGGCACCAACCTACAACAAGCGCGCCCTTCGAGCGCTGATGTTTGTACTTTGTGCCCTAGTGACGTACTGTACTATTGTTTGCTGTAATCATTAACATTAAATACACAAAACTAATAAATATTTTACAATCTTACAGATAGCTTTTTGTACTGCTAAATGATGTCTATATTTTCTCACGATTACATGCGAATTTACTTGATAGTTTTTCCCTCCGTCAGTCGAAAGTTTTTTGGTATAAAAATTATTTTTTCCGCCCTCGGGTGGTTTTGGGAGGCTGGTACTACCTCAAGCGAAAAAGCAGTTTTCCGGAACTCGTTCGAAAAGTCTCCTTTATGAAACTCGTTACGGACCTCGCCTTTGGCTCGGGCCGCAAACCTCTCGGTTCGCAAACAAAGACTTTTCAAACTCGTAGGAAAACTACTATTTCGCACTTTTTAGTCATGGATGTGTAGGAAATCTGATAACAAAAAGATTGACAGTCGTAAAATCCCTGTAAGAGTAACGGAAGCGCAGATGTAAGCAAAAAATTTAATAAAAAATTGGCATTTGTTTATAAATCATTAAATAGACCAATAATTTACGCTAATGTCTGATTTAGACAAGACTGTTTTTTCGTATTTCTGGAGAAATTCTGTAAGGAAATGGCCATTTTTTCTTTACTGAAAAACCGAAAATTAAGATCCTTTAGGCCCCGGACTTCTAGTTTTGTGATATGATTTCACACTTAAAAAATCATCGTATGCCAAAAAATATACATAAAAAAATACCGTATGTTAGTAAAAGTATTAAAGTGTTGAAAAGTCTGATTTGTAACATTTGCTATACTTAATATGAATGTATATTATTTTATCTTCTAAACAAGTATCATTAAACGTTTGTAAGTTCTTTTGTTTGTTTGTTTTTGGTTTTCAATAGTTCATTTGGCGTCTAATTCTTCTATTGCAGTTAAACTAGATGATACAAAATACATTTTAAAAGATAAAAAATTTCAGTTTACGAATCGTGCAGTTATAAAAAAGTGAAACATTATCGAGGGTTAAAAATCTAGCTGAAAAGTGTTGATATTCTCTGTGACTTTTTTTTCTAACTGTCTACGTAATATTAAAAGTTTTTAGCGCTGATTTGTAGAAGACATAAGACATACTTTTTTCATAATATGTATTCTGTTGTAAAATCTTATGACGTTAATTGACTTTCTATCACAGATCATTTTAAAATCAAACAATTCCTTAGTTCACGGAGATTTCACCAATACTTTCTACTTGAATTTTATAATTGTTGTCAGATTGAAACTATTTGTTTTTTTACATCCCAATGTATTAAGAAAAAATTATTTAAAAAACTTTACATTTTAGGTTGGAGAACTATAATCACTTGAAAAATCGAAGTACAAACTATTTAAAGCAACTCATTATAAACAAAAAAATTGTTGACGACATAGTTATATGTACCGTAAACGAAAAATTTAATCAGTATTTTTCAGTTCCACCACCGATACCGATACATACAGCAATGATAAAAAAATTAGAATTCAGATGTGAAAGTGTGTTTATTGGTGGTAAGTACGTAAATCGTATTTATTTATAGCTTTCTACTGCTTAATAACAAATTCCTTCCATCTATCATATTAATAATTTTTTTAAACCATTAATGCTATATTGTTGTATAAGTGCTGCAATAAGAATGCTACTAAAACGCTCATGCATAAAAAAAAGTAACCGTTGTCAGTGATGTAGCAGCAGATGGCTAAAAATTTTATTTACTTACTAATCCAGAAATTTGTAAGATGATTCATTTTTAGCGTTACCCTGAATACCTACAAAAAAATGTAAAGCTAATGCATAAGAATGTTTTTTTTTTTTTTATCTGAAACCTATAAAATATTTCAAAATTCAAGAATTTTTTTAATTAATATTATTTCAGAGAAGTTGTTTTTCATATATTAGGAATGTGCAAAAATAATCTACTTTTTATTTATTTTTCAACTTTACTTACACAAATAAAATCTTAAACGTTTAATCATCAAACTATTCTTCGTTATTATCTAATACCTACTGCTACCGAATCGATAACTCATGGATCTCCTCACGATAAAAATCTTGGCTTTTTGACGTGAAAAAATTAGCTACCCACTTTTGCAGTTCTTTAAATGTTTGAAAGTGTACTTCTTATTCATGGATCTAAACAGATGATCATCAGTTAGCGTGGGGTCTAGAGAGTATGATGGATGTCTTAAAACTTCTAAGCCAAGAGACATATAAGTTTGATGGATAGGTTTTCCAATGTTTGGTTTGACGTTATCATGCAACAATTTCACTTGACGTAATCTATGGCCAGTTCATGGACGTTTTTCGTCCAACATTTTACTCAAATGGTTTAGTTGTTAAAAGTGATGTTCTACTGTAACAATTAGCTTCGGTTGTAGTGGCTCATAATACAAAATCCCTTTCAAATCATGTTTTGAATTTGACTGGGGGGAGGGGGCTGTCCGGCATCAAGATATGATTTTTCTTATTATGGGCACAAAGTGCAACTACCGTTTTGCGCCCTTGGGCCACACTTTGCACCCTTGTAATCATTGTTGGCCCATAGGCAGAAAAGTACTTTTAACCCTTGGTAAGAAAAGCATTACACGCGACTTGGGCACAAATATACAACAACCGTGCCTTTCGAGCGCTGATGTTTGTACTACGTACCCTAGTGACGCAATGTACCATGTTCATAAACAAGACAATTGTGGAAAGTTGCATAACTTTTACACACCCGCAGTACTATTCTGAATCATCATAAATTTTAACTCTGAAGTTCTTTTTTTAACTATTCTGCCTAGAATAATTTTCAACTTTTGAAAATTTTTCGCATTTTACAGCTTGAACTTGTCATAGTTGGAATACACCTTTAGCTAATAAGCAGTTAGTTTAAGGTTTATTCCAACTTCTACACGTTAAAGCATATCCAAACAGTAAATGATGCTGCTTATATATGCGAGTGATCATTAAGTATGTATAACATGATGAAACTGATATTTGAATCGTGAGTAAAAACTATAGTTTTTGGGTTTTGATCTTTTATCAACGAAACTATGACTTTACATTTGATATCTAACAATTTTCTTTTTAAGTTGTAATTATTACGTTGAAACTAGATCGTGTATAAATAATTGAATTGCTTTTTGTGTAACCTCTTTAAAGATGAATGTCTCACAATTCTAGTATAACATTTATCAGTATGTAGATTGTCTCATTATTGTATGTACAACCTACTGTAGGTGTAATAATAATTTATCATTTATAGCAGTTGTTTAATTCTACGTTTGAGGCAGTCTTTTTAATTAACATCATTATCGACAGATTTGGTCTAGCTCTCTTGTTTGTTATTAAAATTCCTTTTTGGTTTTTTCACTACCACTTTGCTCTTGGAGAGATTACTCCTTGTTTTTTTCTGAGAACCTCATACTATGTTGTAAAGTAACATGAAGAGCAATGAGACAAAAATTTTCTTTGTGATTCAACTTAAATAAAATTTTTCACACGAAATCGGTTTGATTAAATGATTTCGGTACAAAAAATATTTAATGATAAAGCTCTAAAGAGTTAAAAAATTTCTGAATGATTTAAAAATACCTTGTCAAATATTAAGAACAATTTCGAAGGATTAAAGGATTATCTGATACTTAAATGTTTTTTTTCTGTAAGTGGAATGCTAATAGCTATACTCTATACTCTGTATGAAATTGAAAAAGTTTTTTGTTCCTTTAATCAAGTATTTTTATTCATAATGATTAATCATATGTTCTGGATATAATCATCATGTTTATGTTACATCACAGTTGAAGTTAAAATACAAACTTAGTAATAAGTCCTACAAAAAAATAACATTTTACATTTTGCTTGTTCATACAGCAAATATTATTTTTTGTTTTTATCATAAAAAGGAGAATAATTTCGAAGAAACCCTGTTCATTCGTTTAGTGATAAGTTTAAGTTGAGATAACGTGGTTATGATTCAAAAGACATTCGTGGGTCTAAAAATGAACTGTTTGTAAATAATTCTGTAAAATTTCAAAATACAATAAAAATTATAGTTTCATTGATCTATTTTTTATTCAAAAAAAAGTTGAGTGAAAAATAAAAAAGATGGTAATAACGCTATAATGTATGAGTTAAGTACCGTAAATTGTACTTTTTTAGCAAGATAAAAATTAACTTTTAAAGAAATAGAAAAAAAAACTTAACAATTTATCAGTCGATGCTATTTGTAAATTGAAGAGCTACTTATCAAAAAATTTATCATTAGAAAACATTTTTTATTAGTACGGGAAGCGTGATAGGACGAATTTTGAAACATATTATAATAATAATTTATTCCTCATTTTTAGCAATTTTAGATTTCTAGATTTGACATAGGACAAAGAACTTACGTCCTAATAATTTAACTGTGGTTATTTAAAAAAATTGCGTAAATTACGTTATCCACCAAATAATAAGTGGCGAAAAATTTTTTCAAACAATTTTGTTAATGTTGAAAATTTCTTGTGTTAAAATTTACTATCTGTATCTGTTTTTCATTTACTATTTAGTTCTTTGGGAGTGAACCATATTTGAAAAAATTTTGCAACGTTGTAAAACATTTCAAACTATTAAGTTGTCATCGAAAATTAATTTCAGTCTTCGAACAATCTTTAACAAGATGTGTTTTAGTCAACTTCCTAATTTTCCATCATTAATGTTGTTATAATTATCTGTCAAAGTTTGGAAACTTTTTGACCCAATAAACTGCGTCTAGACCAAGTCTGATATTCAACATTTTGTGTGGTCTGAAAATGGTTACCCTTTCCTTGTTTTTTAATGAGCACAGTTATCAATATTTGTAGAAGTGATTACCATTTTCTAATAAACAAAAAGACAACCTTATTTTCTTGCGTATATTACAGTTGTGCTAAGCAACTAAATGTTCTATTTCACCGAAAAAAATTTTGGAGTGATATTCCTGAAGACTTTGCTTAGATAATGGACTTCAAGAACATTAAACCACTGTAGTACAGCGTTTAAAGCAATGCACTACAATTTTCAAAGCATATTACCTCCGCAAAGACTTAAAGTACTACACTATAACTCTGTGAGTGACGCACTACAAGCTTTGATGTTCCAGATTTCTGAGATGCGTTAAATTGTAGAAGCACAAGGCTTCGCGCACTGACCATAAACTCTTGCAGTCATTGACTGGATGTGAGTGAGTGAGATATTTCACATGAAATTGTGATTAGCAATATCCACGTATAGTATAGTTTACATGCTCTTACTCTCATTGGTTCACCTTAAATATAATCTAATACTCATTGCTTAGCGTAATAATTCTGTCTGGTCAGCAATCCTATAAACTCTGAGCAGCAGTTCGTCATAACCAACTTTCCGACTTGGAAAAAAGCTTGGTTATTAACAAAATTTTAATTTTGTTCAGGAATGTTATTTATAAGTATTTCATTTATTTTTAACTAGATTTAATTTTTATATTATTTTTAAATATGTCTGGTCAGCACTCCGATAAACTCTGAGCAGCGGTTCGTCACAATCAACTTTCCTGCTTGGGAAAAAGCTTGGTCACTAACATAATTGTAATTTTATTTATGAGTTTCATTTATAAGCGTTCTATTTATTATTTATTAAATTAACCTTACACTTCCTTATTCATCACATTAAACTGTACTTATTGCCTTATCATTATTTTATAATTAAAATTTGAATTTCTTCCATTTAAGCACAAAGGTTTTTGGCTAAAAGGCTCTTTCCTAATGACGCTGCTGTTTATTCATCAAAAAATACGTAATAATCGTAAGTAATTTTTTTAGTTAGTAACACGTACGTTTTTTGATTAAGGTGGCTCCTCACTATAAATCCCACAAGAAGAGTAAGCATACTGCAACACAGCTTTTCATTGGCTGTGGAGGTTCTTGACTAAAAATGGATAGGTACCTATAGTCCCTTCAAAAATAGTTTAGTCACATCTACACCGTTGACCTATATCGTACAATACAGTGATACGAGCAGACGTATGTATACAAATCTGACAACATAACCCTTGTATGTAAATAACAATAGTCAGCGTCTCATTTATTTTTATTATAATTACGATTCCTATTCATTTTACGTACAACTTTCTGACTAATTTAAACTACGCGGGCTACCGCTCTTCGGTGTAGCAGACGCCCAACACTTTTCATCTGTTCCGTGACTTGCACAGTTATCTACTATTTTCACAAAATATCCTATACAACCCATGGTAATGTCCAAGTACCTGAATGACGTTGGAAAGATTCTGATTTTTACAATCTGCTACATAGTTTTCTATTAAGAACTACAGTATCTTTGCTGAGATATCATACAACCTGCGCCACCAATTTGACGACCCTCCATAAGAGGCTATGTTACAGAGTCTATTTTTCAGTTAGTTTTTTTCAACAATTTTGGTGGTGACGAGGTCTAAAATTTTGGGAAAAGACTCCTTGCATCTTCAAGAATCATCCTTTAAAATATCATTTAATACTCCAGTGTTTTGATTTAGTGAGGAGCCACCTTAAGAGAGTAACGCCTATTCTCTGCGGCCTTTCTCTCATGTATCCATATGCACTAATGTTTATATAAAATTTTTTAAAGTTATACTTCTATAGGCAGGTTACACAGAAGAGTAATCAACGATTTCAGATTGAAGACCTTAAAAAAAAGTGTAACCGAAATGGATTTTGTATAATACTCCCTCTTTTCCTCGCCCCCCCTAGCCACACGGCCTCTTGTTGGTCCCCAAACCACCACACAACACCATGCTTGCACCACAACGGCACACATTTTGAATTTTATTGAATTTTTTTTTTCTTCTTCTGCTAATTCTATGAGAAAAAAAACAGACACACACACACACTTTCTAAGATATTGGATCCCACGATATCTTGCACACTAGCTGAGACCCTCACCCACTCTGCTATTAGCGGTTCCTACATAGGAATTCATAATTCTTCTTCTTATGGTACAGTTCATAACTCGTTTTTAATGTAAATACTCATTTACTGTTTATCTATGTAGCGGGAAAAAAGTCCAGAGAGGCGAGAGGAACGCAAATACATGCAGCAACGTGGACATTTATTTTTGTCAAATGGATGTACTTGCATACAAGTTTTTATGCTTAGTTTATCCCCTTCTTCCTTGTATATTAAAAAAAAAAGAGGATCTATTCAAAAATTTAATAGAATTCTCCAAACTCAATCTTTTATGCCCAAAATT